AGATAGAAGAAAATTAGTTCCTAACCTGAAAACTCGTGTTCCCGAAAGGCTAATCCAGCTCAACGACAACATCAGACTGGTACAAGCAACAAATAAATATGATAACTTAAAGCTCCATTTGTACTTTTCAGAGTCAGTTCTTAATTCATCTCTGGAAGTTTTGAATTCTCTTGAAGTAAGCAAAGGAAGGCTGCTTCCAATTCGTGGAAGGAGTCTCGGAAATCGCAGATTCAGCTTTTCGGTTAGCGTTTTTTTCCCTTCAGTTTCTGATATTCATTTGTATATGTTTCACTTGATATGAAGTTCCTTATTTCAGGTCACAAATGTTTCCGGAATTGCCATAATCACAGTAAACCTCAAGCCTAACTCTATAATAAGCAGACAAGGAAATCCTGTTTCACCACTTCCACCAGTCACTTTCCTTTATGGTAAACATTTCTCCTTGTAAACTTGTGAACTTTACAAGTCTGAGAATTTCAGAATTCAATACAAACTGTGAATTTCAGATTCTCTTAGGCCCACCGTGATGCTTAGTACAACTACTTATACAAGGACAAAAGACGAAAGATTTTTGGTCTCTGTGAGTTTTGTTAAGCCTGTATTTGATTTCAACTCATCCTGTGTATCGATTCGTGGAGGTCGTTTGCTGAGGCAAGTTTATGTTTAAATGTAGGTTAAGTTTTTCATGAAACCACATTGTGTTTGCTTGTCTTTTTCCTTATAAACTCTTTCTACGGTCCAGCTTTCGTGAGATGGGCAGGAATACGTACTCCCTTGAAGTACAAGCTGAGCATAAAGTCGTATTTGTCAGTGTCCCTGAAAATGTAACAGTCGATGTTGCAGGAAATCGTAATCTAGCATCGAATGTTCTGCAAGTGTGGCACTGTAAGCATTCAAATACTCAAGTCTCTTTTGCTTTCATTCATTTATTCATTTCAATTGTTATATAAGATATGTTGTGAACAAAATATGCAGATTCTATACCGAAAATATCTACTGTCGTTTCGATCTTTACAATCGCTACATTCACGGCAACATCCCTTGCAGCAGGACTACTGACTGTATCAACAGCTATCCTTCAATCAGAAGGAGTATTCATGAGATCATCTTCTTTTCTGACATATAATCCTACAAGAAACATTTTCGTAAGCAGTCTCTCACTATTGAGCATGTTTGAATACAATTGTTTTGGGTTCAGATCGAGAAGAATCGAAGTATGACTTTTTCGGTTACAAGCACCAAAATGTTCTTAAAAGTCTCACTTCACCATCTTGGATAGATGTTCAATCCGAACATCGACCACTTCGAAGTGGCATCTTCTTACTAACATAAACATCTATCAAAGATAGATTGCTTGAGTATACAGCATATTAAGCAGCTTCTCTTCTATGCAGAGAATTGCTTGCCACATTCAAATTTTCGCGCTATCTATATGGCTGCCGGTTACATTGCCTGTTGAGTACTATGAATTTGCTAAGGGTTTGCAATGGAGTATTCCTTACCTTAGGCTTCCCTGGGAAAATGAACATGATCGTCCTGATATAAGTGGCTACAGCCCCTTTACTGGATCAAATCCTTATCTTTCCAAAACTCTTCATTCAGAAGCTCTTCAAAACAAGGTTCCAGGCGATAACTTTACTATGGTTGATCAGTTATATGGATTGCCCCTTACTCCAATGGAATACAGATCATTTTTTGAGGTAGGAAGGAATTACTTGTCTTCTTTTGCATGAAAGATGAACTTTTGTTATAAACAGATTATTTTTTGTTTACAGAGCCAAAATATCAAACCCCAAGCTGATAATATTTTTGGAGCAGGAAGTTACAGTCGGTAGGTATCTCTGGTTCTTTCTTCTTGCTATGAATGAAAATGAATGGAAATTTACACAAAACATTAGGACCTAAAAGCTCCATTATTTGCATTCTAATGTAAAGTTACAAGCTTGCTTGTGAAAATGGATGAAATGGGGAAATTCTCGTTCAACAATTTACTGTTCCTTTGGGGTGATGGAAATTAGATATTGTAACAGCCAAAGCTCATCGCTAGTAGATATTGTCTGTTTTGGCCCCTTGTGTATCGCCGTTAGCCTCATGGTTTTAAAACGCATCTACTGGGAAAAGATTTCCACACCCTTATAAAGAATGTTTCGTTCCCTTCTTCAACTGATGTGGGATCTCACAATCCACCCTTCTTCAGGGCTCAACGTCTTCGATGGCACATCACTTGATGCCTAGCTTTGATACCATTTGTAACAGCACAAACTCACCGCTAGTTGATATTGTCCGGCCCATTACGTAAATGACTAATGTTATGAGCTAAGAAAATTGCTACATTGTTGGGATACGGGGTTTCTATCTTTAAACTCATTTTGTTTCTATATCTTGTTTACAAACTCAAGAGAGATTCAGTTTCACTACAAATGAACGTGTTGGTTTTATCCTTGCAGGTGGAATGATTTTTACAGAAGCATGTTCTGGTTTGGAGTCTTTGCTGGCAGTTTGATATTCCTCCATGCGCTATTCCTTCTTATCATGAAATGTCGACAGAAAATATACAACACACAGGGCAGCTATGGAGCACTTACCTTCCCTAGATTTGAGATATTCCTTGCATTTGTAGCACTACCTTCCATGTCCATGGCCTCAGGCACGCTATTTCGAGGTAGTTTCTGCACATTTCTCTTCTTTAACCGTCTTATTTCCTCTATGTACTTGAGGACAGAGTGCATTTCTAAAAGATTTTAACTTGTTTTGATATCTATTTTGGTTGGGTAAGGTGGAGCTCTGGCAGGAGTAATAGTTGGAGTTTTGCTGCTCGGCATTCTGTCGCTTCTTTTGCTAGCCTTACTGTTGTTTCTGTCGATTGGAATCACGTTCGGGAAGCTACTTCAGTACAAAGAAGTTCATCAAGAAGGCCAGAAATTTCATTGGTATCAAGAACTTGTTCGTGTAACTCTAGGTCCTGGCAAGAGAAGTCAATGGACTTGGAAAAACCAGCCAAACTCTGTTTTCCTGATCATTTTTGGGCCAATGTTCGAAGATCTTAGAGGTCCCCCAAAGTATATGCTTTCTCAGATTTCTGTGGCAAATCCCAACAAACGGGGCGATCGCATTATTGACTCCGACGATGAAACAGAAGATGCCGAAGCACCATTCATCCAAAAGCTGTTTGGCATCCTTCGGATATACTATACGCTCCTCGAATCTATCAGACGAGTCATTCTTGGAATCATGGCTGGTGCTTACAAGGAAACACTGTCTTCCAGAACTCCAACGGTTGCCTTACTATGCATCTCCTCATTTCAGCTGTTTTTCCTTGTTCTCAAGAAGCCATTTATCAAGAAAAAGGTTCAGTTGGTCGAGATCATTTCGAACACATGTGAAGTCAGTCTTTTTGCTATTTGTGCAGTTCTCATAGATAACGACTTTTCAATCAGTGCTCAGACGAAACTCGGAATAACCATGCTGGTGCTGTTCCTTATAGGCTACTGTCCTCAACTGATCAATGAATGGTATGCTTTGTACAAACAGGCAAAGCAGCTTGACCATGCTGGGAAATCATTCTTTTCAGGACTCAAAGTGGCTTTTATTGGATTCCTCCTCCTGTTTCTCCCACAGAGATTCACTAGAAACTTGGAAAGTATATTCTCAGTGAACCTTAACGGAGACTCCGAAACCGTGGATAACTCATCCGATAGGAACATGTCTGTCAGTCAAAGCTCGAGTAATGAGAAACCGTGGTTGAAACAACTTCGGAAGTTGGCAAAGGCAAGCTTCACTAAAGAGCAAGGTGGAACTTCAAATGATCCTTCAGGAAGTGGTACACGGTGGAGCGGACTATGGGGGCGGAGAAGTAGGAGCAGAAGTAGTAGAAGCTCCTCCATAAGTTCATCTGATTTCCGGTCTAAATCCAGAGGCTTGTACAAGGAATTTGAAACCATTTTTTCATCCAATTGAAACTAAAACACAAATGTATTAGTATGATCTTCTGAAGTTCATCCATTGGTAGTTTATCATCCCATAGTTGGATCATTTTGGGTGTAGAATACAGACGATTGGGTTCTAAGCTGTGATTGGTTCCATAGTTGGATCAAATGTATAAGAGCTTCAGACTTATTCTCATGCATTATACTTAAAACAAATCCAAGATTTCCCCAAAAGATTAGCAACTTACTCTAGAAAGAAACAAAGTGTGGGCTGGAAAACCCCATAGTTGCCTGGAGTCTCATCCAATCTCATGCACATCACGCTATCTGCAAAATTCTTCATTGTTTGAGTAAAATAATCAACGTTGAGTACAGATTCTGGATGACTCAAATTCACAAGATAAAACATGAAGATGTAGAACGAGTGATATCTGGTCATAACATGTATGTTTGCCTACTTTTCAAATCGCTACAATGAAGACCAGCATCAATTGAATATTAATGACTGAGCTGTATAATTACTCATAACAAGTTCTTTGAGCTTCTCTGCTTGTGAATGTTCATCAAACATTATGTTGAGGAATTCATTGATATGAAGGCGATGATGAAGATACAATTCAGTCAGTTTTAGTGGAGGGAACATACCAAAGCATGGTGCCTAAAGTCTGTATAGGAGGAAAGCACATCGGTGGTTGCGATGGCAAGAACAGCCGATAATTTCTTTGCACAATGGCTGGCTAGTGTTTACCTCTCCCAACCTTTCTCAACTTCTATCACCATTTGCGTCCTTGCAGTGGTTACTGAGAAGCAGTACAGAGGAACTACAATAGTCTATGAGTTCTTTGCAAAAATAAATATAAAAAATAAAAGAGATGAGTGAGGTAGTTTAACCCATATATGAATACTGTGATAAAATTAAGCATATATCTCTTTATTATTTATAATGAAAACGAAACACAACCATCATAAACTCCTCAAACTATTTGACTAAACATTAAACTTCCACAGCCTTAATACAAACATTATGAAAAATGATACTCTGCATACTTTTTAAGTGTTTGATTTGATCATACGAAGATGGTAAACTCAAGCTGTCGGATGCAGTTATAAATGACGGAAATTCATCTTTCAAACTTGTCTGATATTCAAAAGATAAGTTCTCAGTCTTCTTAATCTTACTCAGCAGCTCAATTGTAAGCGCTCCTATGCTTCTCTTAGATTCTGCAATCATTCAAAACTGGGAATGAGAACTGCTAATAACAGATGGAAATTGAGAAAGTACACACTACTAATTACATTGGAGAGTTCAATCAACAAATTAAGAGTCTTCATGGCTTTTCCAGACCGTTGAGTTTCACGAGCCAACTTAACTCCCTCGGCCAATGTGGTCACTTTGCTGCTAACCAGAAGGGCAGCAGCAGCATTAAGGATCTGAAGATTGTTGTGGCAATTCAGCGTATTTTCAACATAACATATGGAAAATACTTGATTACGAGAATAACTTACAAGTGCATTTGCAATATGCCCCTCTTCCCCAGATAAAATGCGCTTCAAGACCTCTGCATTATAATCGGGGTCTCCACCTCGAAGGTCATCTATAGTGCAACGAGGGATGCCAAAATCCACTATTGCACAATTTTAAAGATTTTAGGACTTTTCTAATTGATAATCAACGAACTATGATAAATTTAACATGGACTCACTTACATGGATCAAAGGCAAACTTATCAACCTTTTCAGGTGTTACATCAAGAATAAGTCCTGGTCCTGTATACGTTCATATATATACATAATAGTTAGATAAAAATTGTATATAAAGCACCAACATGGAGAGAGAAGTATACATGACCATGAAGCAAATCTCACCAAGGGGACTCATCTCATCTAAGCCCTCCGAGTGAACTACTAATGCTCTTTTCATGCCAAATAGTTGCAGTGCTTTAGCCATTTTGGGGACCTGTCCAGCCAGAATAGTTTAATGACTAATATGCTCACAGATGAAATTAGGAAAGATAGCCAACCAAAAGACGGTAGTGAAAAGTTTTTAACTATATGCATCATTGAAAAAGAACTCCGCACAATATATTAAAACAAAGTGGATGAATTAAATACAAATAAAGTGAGATGCGTAATTAGTCATTAATTCATTGAAACAATTTGTTAGGAAACTCTTGGGATTTGATCTAACAATCTTGTTGAAGAACAAAACATTCATATCTAAATTATCCAATAACCCAAATAACAATTAAGAATCAACCTAAGGGAAAGTTTTGGAACGAATTACCTTGATGATCGAGATCATGAGTAAAGAAAACTTGTTTCTAAACTCGTGATTCAAATCACTCCACACAATAGCTTGGTCAAGACTACTTATATGACTCTAGCATGTAAATCTAAACACGAAAAATGCAAAAGAACAAGTTCATGGCTTAAGATGCATAATATGCAACTTTCATTTTAATATCCAAAATCTTCATACGATAGCAACAATAAAAGGCCAAATTCGGGGGCTCCTTCCCTATTTCTCGGTCATATGAATGACTATTTATAGCCTTGAAAATAAACCTTAGAGTAATCTATGGTCAATTGCAAGGTTGCAACTCTCATGCCCATCAATATCATAATGATCACTACCATCATGACCACTAACTAAATGTAACTTAAAACCTTAAAAATAATACTCTAAAATTGAAGAAAAAAAAAAAAAAAAAAAAAAAAAAAAAAAAAAAAAAAAAAAAAAAAAAAAACTCCCGTAGGTATGTTACAATCTTGTCATCCACCACGAAGTTTTTGTGGCGTGATTAAGACACCTTATTTCGTATCACACCTAGTCTAAGCCTTACAATAGCATTTAATTAGATTCTCGAGTAAAGACAAGGATGCAGATCAAATTTATATGCAGTATACTATGGCCTCCTTAAATTAATATAGTGATTAACTAATCTGCTGAAACAGCATTTACTACAGATGAATACCAATTATTAAAGCTCCTAAACCATCCAGCAACACGATGCTTCATTCAAATTAAGAATGCATGCATAAGGGAAATAATAAATACACCTCTTTCTAAGAGAACGGAGGAATGGAATTATAAACTTTAGCTCAATCTTACCAAGTTCTCAGAATATACACCAACAACAGCGAAAGGAACTCTAGCCGGATTGAGCATAGGGCCCAGTATGTTAAATACAGTTTTTACTTTTAGCTTCTTCCTGACAGGACTGACAATCTTCATTGCAGGATGGTATTTGGGAGACATCATGAAGCCCATTCCAGCTTCATCAACACACTTGGCAACTCCCTGTTTCAAGAGATCAATACTTGAATTATTGTCATGAATATAAATTATTTCCTCATAAAAACCTGACAATCGTGACTCTTAAACCCACGCAGGCTTGTGAGAATTCTCGCATGATATTTTTTCATCACGTTTTATGCCCTATGATATATGAAACTTCTTGTGAAGTCTTATGTGGCAATCAACAAAAGGAATGCCTGATAGAGTAATCACTAAGTCACAAAAGTAAAGGAACAAAATATGGAATGAATATGAAGGCCAGGGCTGATAGATGCATGTTTAATTATTTCCAATTTACAGTTGCACTTAATTGATTGGGAAAGCAAGCCAGAAACTATGAAGTATAGCCCTGTCAATTTTTTTAAATCCTTCTGATGTCAAACATTAGCATAGTATGGTAGAAGCATCGATATAGTTTAATCAACAAACAAGAACCACATTATACAAGTAAAACGCTTAAAACCAAGTTAGCAAGGCACTAACCTCAGGTCCCAAATCAATAACTACCCCAAGTGCCTCTAAGACATCAGCACTTCCACATGCTGAAGAACTCGAACGGTTTCCTTGCTGCAAATATGCAGTTGATAACTGTTATCTCCACTTAGTACATATAATATTTCAAATATGTTTCAAACAATTATAGCATCGAAGGTACACCAGAAAAATCTTTTTCTCACCTTTGCAACCTTTGTGCCGCATGCTGCAGCAAGTATTGAAGCACCAGTTGAGATGTTTACTGTGTTTGCTCCATCTCCACCTGTTCCAACTATGTCAACGGCATCAAATAAGCCATCCACTTTCACACTACGCTTGATCATCGCCCTTGCAAGTCCCACAATCTGCTTAATCATAAACGTGATTTCAAATAATTACTCCTTCGATGCTTATCTCCATCTCTTAGGACTCATCAATGTTTCTACTGTTCTTATTCTTATGACCTTTGATCAAGCACTTTCCATTCACAATAAAAGGGGTTGGGTCTCAACATTCGCAATGAAAGGTTGGAACAAACAAGTCTTCTACCTCAATCGGAAAAACAATCAGTTGATCATAGAAATTACTCAGATATTCTTACTGATTTGATCCTGAACTACAATACTATTATTTATTGCAACAAGTAGTATAAACACAAAGTAATTCAAATATGTCGATTATGCACAACGTCTTAACTATACTTCAATTCTTTGAAACAAGAACCAACACAAACTGAGAAAGTAGTTCAAGCGACGGATTTACTTCTTCATAAGTCTCTCCTTTGGCTCTGAGTAACACGAGGAAAGCACTAATTGATGCCTCGCTGGCATCGTTGAGAAGATATTGAAGAGACGCCTCCGCTTCATCCTCCGACAAATCCACGCGATTAATCAGAGATTCAATCAACTGTTTGAAGTCAACATTCAAAGAGAACAATTTGTGAAAAAAAAAAAAAAAACATTCTCAAACGAGGAAGCTCCAGGAAATGAAAACGGGGCAAATTTAATTAAACCAATTACATTAGTGAATGAAGTAACTGGCGCGGCCGAATTTGCAACTGCTGCCGGTGACACAGCAGCGGTGGCCACCGTTCTTGAAGCCGAAATCAAGGGCGGAAGGTGGAAATTCAGACCCCTGAACTTGCTAAAGCTTCGCCTTCGCTGAGGACTTGGACAATCGAAGGTAGCAAAACACAGAGAGCCCGCTTCAGAATTGCAAGTGAAAGAAGAATGCCACGAAACCGGAGATAGAAGAGAGGAAAACGCCATTAGTAATGGATGTCGAAACCAGGCTTCGGCCCCGAATACGACGTGACGACGATTTTCTACAACAGACGAACGATAACGATTTGTCGTTACAGCGATCGTATTCGAAGTCGCCGCTCGACTACACCCACTGGCACCGGTAATTTATTGGTGTAGAGACATAATTACACTATAATCACTTTCATCACTTTAAATTTTTTATTTATAAATTTATGATCATTTGAACGAAACTTTCATCCTTCAATAAATGTCACTATTAATACATATAAAATTTTAAAACAAAGGAGAATGATGAGCTAACGAGTAAACAGAAATACTATGTTTCCAAAAAAAAAAAAAAAAAAAAAATACAAAAGTACAAAAATTGCCCGAAAATCAGCCACGGGCTTACATGATCATGAATCAGCTTCCAACTTCCATATGCCAAATGCATTATTAAAATCCATAAAATGCTCAAAATTTATAAGTCGATTTAATTTTCTCCACCGTACACGTGTACATCAAAATATTAATACTCTGATCTCATCGGCAGATTTTCTTTGGCCTAGCTATAAGCAATGTCCCATATCGTAGTTGGCTCTTCTCTGCCTAAGATAGCATCAGCATCAAGCTTCCTATAATTATATTATAAACCAATTTTAATTAATATATATAATTATAATTATAATAAATAAATGAATGAACGAATGATTTTACCTGCGAATATGGATTTGATTATTGTCCATGACGTCCTCCTCGTTGATAATGAGCTCATAACTACAAATTAAATTAATATAATTAAAATATTTATGAACCTTTGCTCTGCATTTATGATGAATAAAAAAAAACTAATATTATTTGATAATATGGAATAATGAAAATTTGCATTTAATAAATAATTGTTAACTTACGGAAATCACAAGTAGAGGTAGAATTGGTGGTCCCACACATGCACAACTGTCTATCACCATCGGTGCCATAGCCGCACGTGCCGCCAGTGGCTTGGCACGCTCGGCAAAAGTCTTCATTTGCTTGGACGGAATATTTCACACGGATTCCGTAGGCCCACTCATCAGGCCCATTAATCCTCAACGGGGCCAAACTATAAGCACTACTATAGCCTTCACACTGGAGTTTCGTGAGATTTATGGCCTTAATGGACCCAAAAGGAATCGCACAGCACTCTGGTGGGCCGGACCCGTAAACCCGATCCGGTCGCCGATGGCCCAGTAAATCCCACGCCGGACAGTCGTAATACTCCTCGCAGCTCATACCGGAAATGTTTCTACAGACGAGATGCTTGTTTGGGAATCCTTGGAAGAGCGGCGATTGGGCGGAGCAGCCGATGAGGAGAAAGGCGTTATCGGACGTCGGATTTAGGTACGGCGACCGCCACTCTTCGACGTCGAAGCCGTTGCCTCGACCTCCTAGGACGATTGTGTCGCAGGTCGACATGTGAGGGTCGTGGAGAGTTAGGGATTCGTAAGCGTAATCGATGTCCAAGACTCTGTAGGATCCGGATCGGATGTGGAACATTAGAACATCGTTCATGCAGTACAGAAGGTCGCGGTAGCCAGGATGGCCGCAGCCGTTCTGGAGGGAGAAAGGATAGTCGACGGTGATGTTGCCGCAGAAGGACCGGCAGGGGTTGGAGTGGATGTTGGTTGTGGAACTGAATAGTGGAAGAGATGAGAAGATGAGAGAGAAGAAGAGGAGAGTGGTTGTGGACATGGTTGAAGGAGATGAAGGAGGAGGAGTGAGTGAGAATTGAGCTTGACGGAGGAGGGATTTGATTTGGGGAAATTGATACTTTGCTTGAGATGGTGTAGAGATTGCGCTCGGGTTTAAGGGGATGATTAGGGCTACTTTTTTCAGAAGAGTAATGTTGAAGAAATTGGATTGAATCTGTGACTTCGAATCCATTTTGCTTCTGGCTTTTTCTTGAGGTATGATTTGTTTTCATGTTTGTTAGTTGAATGTTTTGATTTTCTTCTGCTTTTTGTGAAATCCTGCTAGCTTTAGCTCTCTCTCATCGCCAACAATTTCTTTTTTTCTTCAAATGCCCCATTGAGCGGGAGATTCCCAGCCGAAAGCAGAAGCTTCCAGTTCTATATTCTTCATTTTTTTCTAGGAAAACCAATTTTTACCTTGAATTTAGCTATCCGAGAAGAATGAAAATGCATGAAGTTCTCTATAATTTTTCAATTTCATCAAAGTAGGTTAAATTATTATTATAAATTTTCTCCATGTGTTCTTATTTCTATCACCTGACTTAATCCAATTATTTTCTGCTAGGGTTTGGTTAATTACACTAATAATGTAATTATAAAAAAATAGCAAAAAAAAAAAAAAAAACATTTGCTCCAAAAATATTTAGAGAAATAGGCAGAACTTTTATTGTTTGTAATGAGGATATATATGGGTCGCTCCATATGGTATGCAAAAATGACTTAGGCATGGATACATGAGACTTCAATTATAAAAGTGACTCATGGTCAGTTGTCAACAAGCATGTCCAAGAAAACAGATTGTGTTGGTAGGAACTTGACCTAAAGTAGAGTCAAAATCGAGTCTTAGGACTTGGTCTCGACCTAATTTCAAAATCCAACAATAGATTGTGTAGAGATATATATTAATTCAAAGGCTTTGCATCCTAATTTTTTAGGTCAAATTATAAATCTAATCATTAACTTTTGATCCGTTATTTATTGTCATCAGCCTCACGACTTTAAAACGCGTCAAATTAATTTTCTTTTAAAAAAGAGAAAAAGTTTTAGAGACTTATTGATGATTGTTCTATGATTAGTGGATAAATTTTGATATGGGTTTTTCGTTGGCGCTTTAAATTCCAAAGTGAAAGGATGTTCTTATTCTTGCACCCTTTTTTGACCCTCCTTTGCCACTTTATGCTCCACTGGCCTCCATTACCATTAACTGAAAGGACTTGAAAACAAATGGCTTAGGCAACATTGTGTTTCATGCCGGCAAGGCAAGGCAAGGCAAGGATCCAATCCCTATATTGGGGAAAGTGAAAGGGAAAAAGGATGAATATGGTGGCCACTGACAGAGAAGAGAACAAAGCTGGGGTCTCTTTATATTCTATGCCAAATAGAATAGAAAATATTCCTTGGGGTTACATACATACGTACAACTCTTTTGAGCTTGTTAATCTAATTGCCTAAGGAAACCTTCAACCTTTTGCTCTTCTTTCTTTCCTGTCAAGATTGTCATGTCTGCACAACTCATTTACATCAAACACTTCTGTCATTTATGCTTCTTTTCCTCCTTTGGAGAAGTTTAATGATATATCTTTCAGGACGGCTTCGTCGATTACCTCGTGCATTGATAGGATTGAGGGCACCGCGTTGAAAATACATGGTGTTTTAGTCTTATGATCAGTGTGAAGATGCCATAGCAAGGAATGTGCATTAGAGCCACGGTCAAGTACCTTCATGTTCATTGAAATCACAAGACAATCAGTTTTGATGAAAATGCAGAACATAGTTGACAGGAAAACACACCAAGACACTTACCAAAGAGGGGCATAGGAAGATGAGAGATCCAGAAATGGATATGGCCACCTGTTTTGCAGGGAGAGATCATTGTTGTATCAACATGAACGGAATCGAATTGGAAAGAAAGGAAGAGAGGCAATGAACTTACCATAATCTCACAGAAGCGTGAACGATCCATTGAAAGATTACATAAACGACCGTCCAGACGAAGAAATATCCGATTCGAAACCAGGGAAATCGCTGAAAAGTTGTGATTTATTAGAACTGAGGCATGCTAAACAAGAGAAGAGAACCTAAGTGGAGTTGTTTTCTTCACTTACCAAAGAGTTCAAAGCGGTGTCTCCTAGCAAGAAAACGGCATTGATTGTGTGCATATTTACTATCAACTGCCAAGAAAAAGAGTCACATTGGCTCTTTAGAGCAATGAAGTTGAAAGCCAACATTTTACGGGTTATGCACATTCATGAGCTCAATTTGCAGCTGCTAAGCACTTACAAAATTAAGGTTGTAATCTTTGATGGTGAGAAATGGAACGATTATGAACCAAAAGACGCAATCTGTCAGCATAACAGCTCCTGCATTCATCTTTCAAGAACAGCAAAGGGGACAAAAGTTCAGTAAGGTAAAGAAGAAAATGGAAATGGTGATACTCAATAATGCGCCAACCTGGAAGATAATCTGAAAGACATAGCCCCAAAATCCTGCACGTTGTCGTATGAGGTGATGTTCTTCACGAAGGGATGGATTTTTCTCTGTATTTGAAGTAATTGAACCGTCTCCACTTGTAGAAGTGCCTTGTTCTGCATCTCCCTCCACATTATCCACTCTCTCACCACTAACTTTATTCTGATATTGGTAGCAGCCATAAACGGAGAGCAGTGATCCAAGCTATGAACAGAAAAGTGGAGATTATAAGCAAATAAAGAAGGAAGAAGGAAACCGAGAGGAACATATATGGAAAAAGGGCTCTTTGAAAATGATGGACATACCCCAAAATAAATGGTGATTGACGTAAAAGTCCACCTGTTTCACACATCACAGCCATATTAAAGGAACAGAGTTTTGCACTTTGAATCTCTTTGAGCTTTCGATGTTTGAATACTGAGGAATAGAAACAAAATCAATGAGAACTCACTGAGTATAGAAGTAAAATATGTCGCCTCCATCAACAACAGCAGTGACAATGAGGAGCACCAAGAGAACACAGAAAGCCAACACTCGGAAGGCCAATAGCCAAGCAGGATGCATTCCTTTAAAACAGGGCCGCCATGTTTCATCATCATACAAAGCTCCAGCTTCCTCTTTCTGAGCTTCTTCCCTATTACACTCTTTATTCCCACGGGCCTCATATTTCCATATCAGAAACAATGCAAAACTCAGTGTAAGCAGAACCCATATAATGCAAAGCACAACCCTCCAGTTGAGCCAGTAACTGGAAGTTGTTGTATCATCTGTCATGATCGGCTGCCAAGATTTCTTGGAGGACCCTGTTAAAAAACTCATTTTGTTACCAGGGTTATGAAAATGGAGCTTTTTTCCGTAAAGGGTACTAGCCAAATGTGGGTTTAGAGAAGGAAAATTATGTTCCTTGAACACTCCAAGAATGAAGAAATGCAAAATGTTAGAGCAAACTGAAGGAGTTTTGCTCTTCAATCATGAGGTTTTGTAGGGTAAGAAAGAATCGCTTAGTTTCAGTGAATGGGAGTAAAAACTTTGAAGCCTCAGCTAAATTGAGGAACAGGGGAAGAACACAGAACAACGACAGAAGATAAAAGTAAAAAAGAATTGACAACGAGCAGTTATTTTCAGGGAATCTGAGAACCAGAAGGCAAGAAAGGGACAGGATTGAATAACTAAAATGATCAAAATCAAAACCCTCAGTAGCCAGAGCAGAGAACTCAAAATCAAACAGAAGAATACATTGTCGACAAAGAAAAGGATAGCACCAAGGCTGAAAGAGATGAAAACCCAGTTATTTTAAGGAAAAAACCCCGACTTTCTGGAGAACCCAGTTTGAAGAAAGGTGAGCAGAAACATGATCACAATCCATGAGTGCAAAACAGAGGCAAAGTCGAGAAGTTTAAGGATGTTTTTAGGCTTAAAATAATCGGAAGTATGTAGAAGAAGATGGTGAGAAGCTTAAAACAAGAAGAACCCATTTCCCATTTGACGAAAGAAATGGCAGAAATGGGGACAGATTCGAAACTTTAAACGAGTTTTTGGAAATAAAATGAGGAACAGCTAAATTCTAAGGGAAGAAAAGAGTTTATACTTACAATGGAGAGGAAGAAAGTGGGAAGTGTGTGATTGGGGGAGATGCTTTTCTTCTATGGCGTGGACAGAAATTTAAATAAAGCAAAGCAGAAGAGAGAGAGAGAGAGAGAGAGAGAGAGAGAGAGAGAGAAAAGGCTCTGTGGAGCTTTGAGTATAAGCTTCTCTTTTGCCCATTACCTCAAAATCAAACACAGAATCTTGAAAAACAGCAATAGAGCAGAGAACTCTCCCAAAATCTGAATCTCTCCCCACATTTCCATACAAATTTTTTTAATGATTCTTTTTCATTTTCCAAGGCGCATGTTTATTTTTTGTCCCCTTTACTTGCCTTTCATTTTCAATGTGTCGATGAACAGAGAGAGAGAGAGAGAGAGAGATTGTGTTGCAGAGCATGAAGTTGAAGGTGCTTTTTTGAATGGATTAAGGTTATTAAAATAAAACACTAATAAAAGTATTGAACTTTTTTGGCATTTAATCTCATCACATCTTTATTAGCCACTCTAAATTTTAAATTTANTATAACTTTAGTCCCCCCATTTTGCATTTTTATCATTGGATTCTTTTTCTTTTGATTTTTTTTTTCTTATTTTATGTAAGTATACCAATTTCGTTTCCAACATGAGAATATCGTGTAAAAAAAATCTTTTAGAAAAAATAATAATTTAAAGTATATTTAATGTCGTTTCACCGTATAAAAGACAATTTGAAAAATTAGAATGAAATGAGACGAAAAGTTTTATGAAGTTTTTTTATTCATTAAACTATTGAAAAAAATATGAACAAAAACCTTTAAATTTTTACGATAAATATTTATAGAAAATTAATTTTATTAAAAAAAATAATAACATTTTCTTCCCAAATTATTTCAAATAAGCTATTAAGTATAGAAGCTAACTTAAAATGTGAATGACATTTTGTGCCAAATTTTCATTAAAAGGGAAGACCAAATCAATATGTTTATAAAAAGAAATACAGAAATTAAATAAATTTATTAGAATAAATGAACGTGATGTCTTATAAATGAACAAGGCACACTTTATCCAATTATGATGGCTTACAAAACCTTGTAAAGAACAATAATAAGAAGAAGAAAAGCATATATGATTGTGAGACAATGATATGGTGATTGCAGCACCATAATTGGAGGTGGGACCAAAGTTTTGAGCCGTCTGATATTTTGGCAATCCAAGATTAATCAAAATGAAAATCATCAAAAAGTGGAAAGCACAAGGCATTAGGGGGCCATTGTGTCCTTCAACATCTAAAAGATATAATCATCATGTTAAGCTTTAAGGAATGGGGCCCCTAACATGTGACCTTGACCCCTCCTTTGAAAACTTATGACCAATGAGTTTGTAGGGCACATGTCCTTCACGGGTTCACAATCTTTTCCGTTATGGTATAAAAACCACCATAATAATGATCGGATGAACTTTCATAAAAATAACAATTTAATCCATATATTAAAGGGTCGAAATTTAAATTCGTAATAATTTAAACCACAAAATCTTATCAAAATCAATAATATATTAATTTCATTCATATAAGTTCGTTAGTTTTAGAAAGGCTTCGTTACGTAGAACCAAGAGTTGAGAGTAAGGCTGCTTGCTAGACGCATCTTTTTCAAATTTTATTTTTGAAAAAACAGAAAAAGAAAAAGAATAAAGATACATTGAAATGAGCCATTTTTTGGGTTGTCAAAGTTATGTGACATAATTTTAAAAATGGCAGGATTATACTGAAATCACCTGTAAGCAAATACCAAGTTCCAGCTTCCATCTTGCTGTTCTCCCTGTGAAATTGGAAAATTCTATGAATAACTTCATATATTGTTTTTCTTGCTGACTAGATAGTGAAGCAAAAAGAGAAAAGAAAAAGAACACACAGCTAGCTGGAATAAAGTGTGAAGAGGGAAGATCATAAACAGTAAATCAAAAGGAATAAAGCAATGTTATTCTAATTAATTCGAACAGTTAAATGAAGAGGAAATTAGTCGTAGGAACCAAACAGAATCCAAATTACAAACTTCTGCTAAAAGAGCAGACCTTATTCTCTATCTCCCTCCTACACTTATGGCATCCCGAGAATTATTGGGAGGAATAGTCTCACATTGGCTAATTAAGAGAAAGATCACGGGTTTATAACCAAGTAACACTATCTCCATTGGTACGAGGCCTTTTGAAAAAACTAAAAATAAAGTCATAAGAATTTGTGCTCAAAGTGGGCAATATCATACCATTGTGGAGGTTTGTGGTTCTTAGTAAAATAAGCATATTTGTAAAGGGGAAAAACGAAACACTGGTAAGGGGCTGAAACAAACTCATGCAGTTTTAAAAAAGAAATGCAGAATGAGAGGGCAGAGAGGAGCAAATGCATATATAGAATGCGTCTGAAAAGACTTTCAGGAATGCAAAGCTAAGGGGTAATAGCTAAGAAATTGTGTTTCTTTACGTCTTCTGTTTCTAAAGTTTGCAGGGCAGTGCAAACCAACACTCTTCAATGGATCAAAGACTCACCTAAACACTATGCATTAGCTCGCTGTTTCAAGAAGTCGTGGATATGAGCAGGTTTGGTTCACTACTAAAAAGTGCCATTTTCCAAGAACCAGAGAGACTAAATTTTTTATGTTGTGGCCTTTTCCTAAAAACAAAACAAAGGGAATTTTATATAACTATTCACCGTTGAAATTCGTTACTTCGTTATTGATTTCATGGGGTGAAATATTGATAGGCTAAGCTAGCTAGACCAGGCACCCTAATTGGCAGTAAGTATCAACTGATAGAGGCTGATTTTTTGAGGCATTAAGCAGGTGTAAAGACATAGTAAATAGATCTTTAAATAATGTAAATAGTTAGTAGAAATAATGTTCATTTATTCATACATTGTACCGATGACTCCGTGCTGCATCCACCATCCGCTCGCTGCTGCCCAGCCCTAGTCAAGACAACTAGAGAGAGCGCCAAGCCCGTATCGAAGTCTCGAGATTTCCAAGCAAAGCACCTGTAAATTTTGAGCTTGAAATGGTTAAATCAATGGACAGAAGTCAAAGGCAGAGCGGAAGGGGTAAAGGATAGTAATAATAATTAATAACAATTTGGACAAGCATATTCACTCCGCTGACCAATCATTTAACGCAGCAGTGTGAGGAAGAAGAAACATTAAAACCTACCAGAAAGAAGAGTTAAAGCAAGACTGCAATGTACAACTGAATATAAATATGAGGTCCTCGCCAGTTTTAAATCATCAAGATGGGTCTGACATAAATCCGAGATGCTGATGACAATTCTTGAATACAATATGGTTCAACTTCAATCTGACTGAAAGCTTCGCAATAATGAATTAAGTCTACCTATTTGCTTAAAGTTGCAGCAAATCTATACACATTGATCTTTACAGCAACTCTCTTTGGAGTCTGCAAACATAAAAAGCTCCCAACATTTCCAAATTCATTTGAGAGTATAATGGATTTGTTCGTGAGCTTTGGTCTTCTGTGAAAGAATATCTACAAAATCTGCAAACAGCATTTTCGGCAGACTTCTTATGTCCTGAAAAACCTCTGCTTGGTTGACTTTAGGTTGCAGTTTCAACATTAGAAAGCATCTGAGCTATCTCCTAATATGGAGAGAGAGAATGGAGCAATAGCAACGTTAAATGATTGTTCGCCCACTCGATCAATGTACTTCATTTCAAAGTCACCTTCCTGCATCACATTTAGTAAGAACTCAGGTTCCCAACCCATATACAAAATGCCAAAAATGCATGAATTGACAATTGAGATTAAAAATTTATATAATATGCAAGATTATAAAATTTC